TCATCTTCTCCCATGGAACAGCTGGTAGTTTCGAACTGCTGACCTTGAGGTTAGCAGCCCGAGTCATAACCACTATGCTACCAGAGTGGTGGGTTATAAGTCAGGTTGCTAACCTCAAAGTCAACAGTTCGAAGCTACCAGCTGCTCTATGGAAGAAAGATGAGGCTTTCTGCTCCCATAAAGTTTTTTTTTTTTTTTTAAATGTTTTATTGTGAATTATGTGATAGTTTACATGGGAGAACATTAGCTTTACGTTCATCCTATCATATATCGTTTCATTGCCATGGTTACAGTCCCCTCCATGCGTCATCAACCAATCAAAGGGCATACCCTGCAAGCCTGCCCCCCTAGTCGTCAGCACACAGCCCCTCTCCCTCTCTGGGTCTAAAGTCCCCAGCTGCTCTATCTCTCCTCGTCTCTGCCTCCTTCTCTGACATCACTGCTTCTCTGGGTAGGGTCCTGCTCTCTGTTCTTCTCCCTTGATGGTCCCAGGGACCTCCGCTCCTAGACTGCAAAGTTAATCACTCCCCTTTGTTTGCTACAAAATATCTACCTTTACTTTTCCAACCCGCAATCAGTCCTAATAACAATTATTCATTATTGTATCACAAGAGACCTATCCGGATCTCCTTTCATCAGCCCCACCCAGACAGACTGGATACTACTCAGTGGAGATTCTACCTTCCTCCCCTCCCTCTGGATCTAGATTCCCTCTTGAAAGCTTGTAAGCCAGTCACTTCTTGCGTTTGTAGTCCCCCCTCCCCCCCATTTTGGGTAGTCAGTGTCCAAGTTGCCCATCCCTGTCTACTCTATGTATGGAGAGGGTGGGAATGATGTTCGCTGTAAAGATTTGTTCCCTCTTTTGAGCTACTGCATCCATAGGTGTAGGCCAAGTTCATCAAATTGTATCAGATTACTCTTTTTTTTTCTCCCGTAAAGATTTACAGTCTCGGAAACCCTGTACAGGGTCGCTATGAGTCAGAACCGACTCCATGGCACTTAGCAACAACAACACCTACTTCTGGAAGGAGTCCTGATGGCACAATGGCTAAGCACTCAGCTGCTCAACAAAATGTTGGTGGTTTAGATCCACTCAGCTTCTCCTAAGGAGACAGACCTGGCTATCTGCTTCCATAATGGTTATAGCCTAGGAAACCCTGTGGGGGCTCTTTTACTTGATCACATGGGGTCACTATGAGTCAAAATAGACTCCAGGATACCTAACAATGACAGCCCATCTCTGGAGAATCTAAGTGACCCTCCCCCCATTTGTTCTACCCTCTGCAGCCACTTGGCTCAAGTTTCAGTCCTTCTAATATGGAGACCCAAATTCCCAGTAGTATCTAGTGGGGTTTAGTTGGCAGGTGGGTAAGAAGTTGAGATTCATTCAAATTAAATGTATCTACCTTTTGTTGGGTATAGTGACAAGTCACTACAGACAAAGTCCTTGCTTTCAAAGAGCTGACATTTGAATTGAAGGAGAGAAAATAAATTGGAAAAAAAAGTTTTAGATGAGAAAATCAATGAATGTTTTAGTGATTTGGGCAAGCAGTAACTTGATTTGGAAAGCTTCAATGAAGAGAAGATCCTTGAGCTGAGACCTAATTGGCAAAAAGGAGCCGTTCTTTTTTGTTTGGGTTTTTAACCTGTTTGAAACGAGCCCATGTGCTATAAAAGCACTGGGGTCAGTTTCAGTGTTATGTCTCTCCCTTTTACAAACATCCAGACCAATGTTTAGATCCCATGAGAAAGGGAACTGGAGAGTAAAGAAAGCCAAGCTTGATGACCATCTGCAGAAAGAACTATTCAAGCATAGTGAACAGCAAGCGCAAAGCTCCCGAAGCAGGATTTGAGTTTTGCTTGTTAAAAGTATCAAAGAAAGGTGAATCTGGTTGGAGCTTAAAGCTCACGGGGAGATAGATTGGAAGGAGATGAGATCAGAGAAATAGGCAGGGGCCAGATCAGGTGAAGCCTTTGAGGCAAGGTGAAGGGTGTGGACTTTCAAAGTGAGACAGGAAACCATTGGAAGGTTTTAAGCTGGAGCTGGGAGAGTGATAGCCACATGATCTGAGATTTTTTTCCTAAGATCTCTCTGGCTGCTATGTGGACATATGTACATATAGGATGCCAGAGCGGACTATGGGAGACTGGGTAGGAGCTGGTACTGATGACTAAGCAAAACACAGTGTTGACTTGGTCTAGGTTAGAAGCAGAGGAAACCTAGAAGAGTGGGTTGCTCAGGTTATATTGATTGAGCCAGTGTGGGATATGGGAACAGAGTGGGATCCTTTGCCTACTTGAGCCTTTTCCTCAGCGACAGAGGACTCTGTCAACCCTGGATAGCAAGCTTTCCATCAGCAGGGAGGTGACTTTAATTTTCTGCTAGCTGAATTGAACCTGGCTTCTACCTCATTAACTTTTTGTGATGTTGATGGACAGACAGTCCCTTCTGAGAATTTTCTTGCCCATTCCTTCATTCATATATTCATTTATTCAGCAAGTGCTAGGCACTGTGGCAGAATACAAAGAGAGCATAAGCTATAATCATATTTTGCATTTGTATAGAGCTTTCACCCTATGCAAAGTTATTACTTCTACATTCTTTTTTTGCTTCTGCCTCCAGGATTTTACAGTCTAATTGAGGAGACAGGGCTTGTACTCTTTTATAAAAAAAAAAAAAAAAAATTTATTGTGGTTGGGTGAAAATTTACAGAGCAAAATGGTTTTCTATGGGCTTGTACTCTTGAAACAGTTTAGTTCATAGAAAAAAGCCTTCATGTATTAAGTACAGCACCCCAAAAAAAGTGTTTAAAGACTGAGTGTGGTCTGAAAGTTCTTGGGAAGAAATGGAATGTGAAGGCCTGATAGGAGAAGGAGACAAAGCTATCCTAGGCCAGGAAACTGCTTGAGCAGAGAATTAGAGATGAGAATGGGCTGTACCCTACCTCTTTCCTATTTTCCTTTTTGTTTGGATGAAAAGAGCATGGGCTTTGGAGCTGGATGTACCTGAATTCCGATCTCAGCCCTCTTAGTTTACCTTTCTCAGTTTTCTCCTTATAAAACAAAATCAGCTACATTGCCTGTATCAATTAGGGTTTTTTGGATGCAAGCAACCCAAACCAACCCACTCTGACTAACTTAAGAAAAATCGGAATCTATTGGAATTTATTGCCCTGCCAAGACTCAGAAAGGCCAGGATTCAAGAACACCCTAGGAACCCAGGGGGCTGTGGCTTTTTTGAAGGGGGCTTCAAAAAATTCATGGGAAAATGGAATAAAAAGATAATGGAATTTTTTCCACGAACTTTTTGAATCCCTCTCCTACTAGACTGCCGTCAGAAGCAACTGCAAAACTGTTTTCTGTTCTTGTCCCAGCCATATTCCGATTCCTTAGGGAAAGAATCTCATTGGCCTGGAAGAGTGCAGACACAGTGATTGGCAGCACTAAGGAGGGGTCATTCTCAAAGGGTAGTATTACCAAGAGAGGGAGGAATGGATTCTAGGAAGGTAGAACCCACTGATATCTATGGCTTTCCAGTAAATATTGAGAGAATAGAAATCCATACAAAAAGGAAAGGAAGGAGCCTAGCTTCAAATGAGTCTATGGCTATTTGGCTGAGCACGTGGGGAAGAGAGGCTGCTGGAAGTGTTTGTGCCCTGTGCTTTCTTATAGGGACAGAGAACATGAGGAATGGGGACTACTCAGCAGCCTTTTCTTACTTCCAAAAAGCTGCAGACCGTGGCTACAGCAAAGCACAATACAACACAGGCTTGTGTCATGAGCATGGCAGAGGTACCCCCAAAGACCGCAGCAAGGTACTGCCCCTCCCTCCATGCCCTAAGGCCTGTCCCCAGTGCCAGGCTGCCCATGCTGTTCTTCAGTGGGCTTGGGGAACGTCTGGCTTCTCCTTTCCCACCGGGTCCCAGCCCAACTGCCAGGAAAAAATAAGAAAGAAGCAATTAAGTTCTAGGACATAAGACTTGAGACTAATACAGATACTGGAAGAACTTTGTATCTTCAATTACCAGAACAGCACTGTGATGAAATAATACTAAAAACAAAAACTAGGGTAAGCACATGAAGATGTTACATGTAAGAATGTATTTCTTAGTATTGTATTCCACTGTAAAACCATGGAAAGCAATGTAAAGTTCCTTCAATAGTTAGTTCATTAGTCCTTGAAAATGATGTACTAGGTCTGTCGTATTTATTGGCAGGGAAAGACATTTATTGTGTGAATTTTTTGAAGCCCCCTTTTATGTGATTAAGTGGAAAGATACGTTACAAAATACTGAATGTAGTATGATCCAATTGTGTGTGTGTATTTGTTGTTGTTAAGTGCTGTCAGGTTGATTCTGACTCATAGTGACCCTGTATAGTGTTTCCAAGGAGTGACTGGTGGTTCTGAACCGCCGGCCTTTCAGTTTGTAGTCCAGTGCTTATCCTACAGCCACACCAGGACTCTAAACTCCAATATATTTATCTGGTGATTATGTGCCGTGGAGTCGGTTTTGACTAATAGCCCTGTATAGGGTTTCCAAGGCTGTAAATCTTTAGGAGAGCAGAAAGTCTAGTCTTTCTAGCTGGTTGTTCCAAACTGCTGACCGTGAGATTAGCAGCCTGACTCGTAACCACTAAGCTGTTGTTGTTAGCTGCTGTTGAGTCATTTATATATATATACCCCTGGTGTGGCACTGTAGGATAAGCACTGGACTGCTAACTGCAAGATTGGCAAGATTGGCAGTTCAAACCCACCAGTCATTCCTCAGAAACTCTATACACGGTCACTATGAGTCAGAACTGACTTGAGAAGGCACAAAACAACAACACAGATAGATAGATACACATGTATATACACAAACATAAATATTTACATATGTGTGTTATAAGACACACATGTAGGCAGACATTTGTAAGGCTAGACACTAAAATGCTAACAGGCAGGATTTCTTGAGATTTTATGTATTTGTTTTTGCCTTATCTATATTTAAATTTTTGGGGGCTTAACTGTGTTTTCTGACATGTCTTTAATGATTATATATTATTTAATTAAAATCATTTAAAATTTTTTCATTCAAATGAAAAGCATGCTTGTGGAGCTACCAGTTGATTAGCTGTTTCTCCTTTTGCCCTAGGCAGTCCTTTATTACCAGCTGGCTGCCAGCCAGGGCCATAGCCTGGCTCAGTACCGCTATGCCAGGTGCCTACTGCAAGACCCTGCCTCCTCAGGGGCCTTTGAGCGGCAGAGGGCCATGACCATGCTGAAGCAGGCTGCAGATTCAGGCTTGAGAGAGGCGAGTACCTTTGATGGTGTCTGGCCTAGATACCTGGGGCATGTGAAGCCTGGCATTGACTAAGATGACTAAGAACCTTTTTCTTTTCTTCTTGAACACAGGCCCAAGCTTTCCTCGGGGTGCTTTTCACCAAGGAGCCGTACCTGGAGGAACAGAAAGCCGTGAAATATCTTTGGCTTGCAGCCAACAATGGGGTATGAGGTCTCTGGGATCCAGTCATGTTGGGGATTGAGTCTGACAAGTGAAGGGACTTTGGAGCTGACACTGAGTTCTCCTGTGCTTAGCAGACCCTTTGAACCATAGGAGCATTGGGCCCACTTCAAGCCTTAGGTCATGTTGACTTGCTGTATGACCCTTGGGCAAGTCTAGTGTGAGATCAGTTGCCAGCTTAAAGTCAGCCACAGTGGGAATATTTGCACCACAGAAATCGGCACAGGGTACAAAGCAGGGTTTTTCCTCCTGGGAAGCCAGTTGTTAAAAACATTTACTAGTACATTACTAGGCCAATCATTTCCTAATCCAAACTTGTTTCCTCCTCTTATGAAGAGCATCAAAAAGTTTGTGTGGGGGGGTGGGGGTGGGGGGAGATTTTCATTAAAATAATTTTTCCACTTTTGGAAGCCCCCTCATATAATCAAAATAGTAATGCCTGCCTTACTTGTCTACTGCTTCATGGTATTGTCCTGAGGGTCAGTATCTAACTGAGATAACAGACATGAAAGTGCGTGGCAAACTGTACACATTATTCCAAGAGGTGGTGATCCAGGGAAGTCAGAGACGCATAAGGTGAAGACACCGAGCAGGTTAGGAGAGCAAGTGCCCCTTGTGGAGCTGGGAGCATGGCAGTTCAGGCAGCCATGACCTGAAGTTCTGCAGAGCATTAGTTGCATGGGATGTTTACAAAGACTATGAGAAAAGAAATGGGCTTGGGAAATTCTGGTTAAACAGTTAGAAAGAGCTGTATGTCACTGTGAATCACTGAGAAGGGGATCTATCTGTAGTTTGCTGTATTCCCCAAGTGTGTTTGACCTATGTATGTTTTGAGTTGCATCTTGAAGTTCCAGGAGTACTAGATAAAATAAACAATGTGTTTATACTATAATTTGCGGGTATAGGGGGCTGTTGCTTCTTTTTGGTTTTGGTTCACACGCTGATAACATTGTTGAGTTCCTGAGCGCTCTGTGTTGCCTAGAGTACCTATGTTGTTGTTGTTAGGTGCCATTGAGTTGGTTCTGACTCATAGTAACCCTATGTACAACAGAATGAAACACTACCTGATCCTGTGACACCCTCAAAATTGTTCCTACGTTGGCTTCCATTGTTGGAGACACAGTGTCAATCTGTCTTGTTGAGGCTCTTTCTTTTTTTCACTGACCCTTTATGTAGCATGATGCTGTTCTCCAAGGAACCCCAACAGTATGCCCATGATGGTGGTGGTGGTGTGCCGTGGAGTCGGTTCCAACTCATAGCAACCCTATATAGGATTTCTGAGGCTGTAAATCTTTACGGGAGCAGAAAGCCTAATCTTTCGCCCGTGGAACGGCTGGCAGTTTCGAACTGCAGACCTTGAGGTTAGCAGCCTGACTTGTAACCACTATGCTACCAGGGCTCCTTATGTCCATAGTATATCCAAGGTATCTATGTTGTAGTTAAGTGCTGTCAAATTGCTTCCAACTCATAGCACAACAGAACGAAACACTGCCCAATCCTGTACCATCCTCAGTTGTTTTTATGTTTGTTGTTGTATGATGCTTGTAGCAACCGTGTCAGTCCATCTCATTGGGGATCTTCCTCTTATTCACTGACATTGTACTTTACCAAGCATGGTATCGTTTTTTAGGAATTGATCCCACCTGATAACATGGCTGAAATACATGAGACAACATCTTGCCATCCTCGCTTCTAAGGAACATTCTGGCTGTACTGCTTCCAAGACAGATTTGTGTGTTCTTCTAGCTATCCATGGTATTTTCAGTATTTTTCACCAATGCCATAATTCAAATACATCATTTTTTCTCCTGTCTTCCTTATTTATTGCCCAGCTGTTATATACATATGAGGCGATTGAAAACACCATGGCTTAGGTCAGGCACACTTTAGTCCTCATACTGACATTTTTGCTCTTGAACTCTGTAAGGAGGCCTTTTGCAACAGATTTGCCTGATGCAGTACATCATTTGATTTCTTTACTGCTGCATCCATGATCATTGATTGTGGATCCAAGTAAAATTAATTCCTTGACAACTTGAATCTTTCATCCTTTTGTCATGATGTTGTTTACTGTTCCAACTGTAAGGACTTTTGTTTTCTTTATTATGAGTTGTAATCCATACCAAAGGCTGTATTCTTTGATCTTCATCAGCAAGTGCTTCAAGTCCTCTTTGCTTTCAGCGAACAAGGCTGTATGAGCTGCATATCATAAGTCATTAATGAGCCTTCCTCCAATCCTGATGCCACATTCATAAAGTCTAGCTTCTAAAGTTATTTACTCAGCATACAGCTTGAAAAAAGTATGGTGAAAAGATACAGTTCTGATACATACATTTTCTGATTTTAAACCATATAGTGTCCTCTTGTTATGTTCAAATGACTGCCACTTATTCTGTGTACAGGTTCCACATGAGAACAATGAAATGTTCTGGAATTCTTATTCTTCGCAATGTTACCCGTAGTTAGTTAAATGCCTTTGCATAGTCAATAAAACAAAAGTATACATCTTTCTGATATTTTCTGCTTTCAGTCAAGATCCATTTGATGTCAGCAATGGTATTTCTTGTTCCAAGTCGTGAATCCAGCTTTAATTTCTGAAAGTGCCCTGCTGATGTGCTGCTGATATTTTTGAATGATCTTAAACAAAATTTTACTTATGTGTGATATTAATGATATTGTTTGATAATTTCCACATTCTGTTGGGTCACCTTTTTTTTGGAATGGGCCAGGTAGCTGTCTTTCATATTTCTTGGCATAGACCAGTGAGTGCTTCCAGCACTTTGTCAGTTGTTGAGACATTTCCATTTGTATTCCATCAATTCCTGGAGGCTTGCTTTTCACGGATGCATTCAGTGCAGCTTGAAAGACTTCTTCCTTCAATACTGTTGGTTCTTGATCATATGCTACCTCTGGAAATGGTCAAACATCAACCAGTTATTTTACTGTATTCTTTGGATGCTTCCTGCATCATTCAATATTTTTCCCACAGAATCCTTCAGTATTTCAGGTTGAGATATGAATGTTTTCTTCAGTTCCTTCAGCTTGAGAAATGCTGAGCAGCTTCTTTTCTTTTGTTTTTTTAATTCTATGTGTTTGCACATTTCATTATAATACTTTGTCTTCTCAAGCTTCCCTTTGAAATTTCCTGTTCAGCTCTTTTACTTCATCATTTCTTCCATTTGCAGTAGCTACTCAACATTCAAGAGCAAGTTTCAGAGTCTCTTCTGACATCCACTTTGGTCTTTTCTTTCTTTCCTGCCTTTTTAATGAGTTTTTGCTTTCTTCATGTATAATGTTCTTGATGTCATCTCACAACTTCTCTGGTCTTCAGTCATTAGTGTTCAATGGGTAAAATCTGTTCTTGAAATGGTCTCTAAATTCAGATGGGATATACCCAAGATCAAGAGGCTCTGGTAGCATAGTGGTTACGACTTGGGCTGCTAACCTCAAGGTCAGCGGTTCGAGACTACCAGCAGTTCCATGGGAGAAAGATGAGGCTTTCTGTTCCCGTAAAGATTTACAGCCTCAGAAACCCTATGCAGAGGGGTCACTATGAGTTGGAACTGACTTCACAGATTATAACCACCACCATACCCAAGATTGTATTTTGGCTCTTGTGGACTTGTTTTAATTTTCTTCAACTTCAGCTTGAACTTGCATGTGAGCAACTGATGATCTGGTCCACAGTCGGCTCCTGGAACAGATCAATGTCTTCTCCGATGTCTTTTTGTCTGGCAAGGTCCACATGTATAGTTGCCTTTTACTTTGCTGGAAGATGGTATTTGCAACAAATAAGTCATTGGTCTTATAAAATTCTATCTTGCAATCTCCAACGTTATTTCTATTGCCAAGTTATATTTTCCAACTACTGATCTTTCTTGTTTGTTTCCAGATTTCACATTCAAATCACCAGTAATTATAAAGTCATCTTGATTGTAGGTTTGACCAATATTAGATTGGAGAAGTTGGCACAATTTTTCTATTTCCTTATCATTGGCTTTAGTGGTTGGCACGTAAATTTGAATAATAGTTGTATTAACTGTTCTTTGTTATTGGTGTTGTTAAGTGTTGTTGAGTCAGTTCCAACTCATAGTGATCCTATACAGTGTTTCCAAAGAGTGACTGGTGGGTTTGAACTGTTGACCTTGTGGTTAGCAGTCCAGTGCTAATCCTACAGTGCCATTCCCTGCTGGTATCTGAACCTCAAGCGGCCTACTTCCAGCATCACAGCAACACACAAGCTACCCAGTAGGACAAATGGATAGATGTGTGGGACCAGTATCTATACTACTGTCAAAAGATGTCACCAACCTGAACTGTGCCTGCCTTTCCTCTGAGAGCCCCACATAGTCAGCCTTATGGGTACATGTCCAGCCAACATGGTTGGAGGACAAGTACACAGAGAGATATGTGTCACCATTTATGTAGTACTTGGTTGAAGAACAGACCTGACATCACTCTTGTTCACCTCACAGGGAATTGTCATCTTAGGTGTGTACTAAAAAGTGTTTCAGAAGTGAGGGTTTGCGCCTTATGTATGTCCAATTCTGTTTTCTGACCCAGTCTGTAGCCATGAGCTCACCATAGATTATATCTGTATCTATCTATGGAGTCCTGGTATGGCACCAGAAGATAATGCACTGGACTGCAATGTCTGTTTAAACCACAAGGTCAGCAATTCAAACTCACCAGCTGCTCTTCAGAAATCCTATATATATAGAGAGATATATAGATATAGATACAGATAGATATATATAGATATAGCCTACCTTCAGTGGCAAGCATGGGCCACCTGGTGCTTATATAAATATATATAAAAAATTAAGGTATATGTATACTAAATGTATGTTGTTGTTGTTAAGTACCGTGGAGTCAGTTCCGACTCATAGTGACCCTGTATAGGGTTTCCAAGGCTGTAAATCTTTACGGGAGCAGAATGCCTCATCTTTCTCCTGCAGAACCACTGGTAGTTTCGAACTGCTGACCTTGAGGTTGGCAGCCAAACTCGTAACCACTATGCTGCCAGAGCTCCTTATACTAAGTGTATAATATACATATATTTATTTATAAAGTTTATATATCTATGTCTGGTGGGAGTCCTGGTGTGGTGCTGTGGGTTAATGCACTGGGCTGCAGTCAGTTTGAACTGCAAGGTCAGCAGTTCAAGTCTACCAGCTGCTTCTTGGAAACCCTATACAAGGTTGCTATGGGTCGGAACCAACTCAATGGCACTTAACAACAACAACATACATTTAGTATACATATACCTTAATGTGGTGCCATAGGATAAGCACTTGACCTCAAGGTCGGTTTGAACCACAAGGTCGGCAGTTCAAACTTACCAGCTGCTCCTCAGTAACCTATGCAAGGTTGCTATGAATCTGAACTGACTCAGTGGCACTTAACAATAACATATATAGAGAGGAGCTCTGGTGTGATGCTGTAGGATAAGCACTGTACCACAAGGTCACTTTGAACCATAAGGTTAACAGTTCCAACTCACCAGCAGCTCCTTGGAAACTCTGTACAGGGTCGCTGTGAGTTGGAACCAACTTGATGACACTTAACAACAACATATGTATATAGGAGTCCTGGTAGGGTGCTGTGCGATAAGCATTGGACTGCAAGTTTGAACTTCAATGTCAGTGATTCAAATCCACCAGCCACTCCTCAGAAACCCTATATAACAGAGGTGGGGAATGTGCAGTCCACAGGCTGTGTAAGGCCTGCAGAATCATTTGGTCTGGCCCTGTCAAGGCAACTGCAGTTCCAGTCATCCATCACATTCGAGGTAAGTTCATTAAATGTTTGACCAAATACAGCAGGCTAATTTGTAAGGTGATAAGTTTTGTGTAGTCAAAAAAGAAGGTAAAAAATCCGGCAAAAAAAAAGGTCCCCACCACTGCTACGGAGTCCTGATGTGGCACTGTGTGTTAATGCGCCAGACTGCAAAGCCATTTGAAATGCAAGGTTAGTGGTTCAAGCTCACCAGCTGTTCCTCGGAAACCCTATACAGGGTCACTATCGGTTGGAACTGACTCGACAGGACTTAACAACTCCTGCTATGCAGAGTCACTATGAGTCAATAAATATATATTTGTTGTTGTTATGTATCATCAAGTTGGCTCCAACTCATAGTGACCCTGTGTAGGGTTTCCGACAAGCAGCCAGTGGGTTTGAATTGTAGACCTTAGAATCCCTGTACAGGGTTGCTTTGAGTTGGAACCGACTTGAAGGCACTTAACAACAACAATAAATAGGCCTTAGGGAAGCTATCATCCACCCTGGCTTCCTTATACTTCCACAATAATGTAGGAGCCTGACTCCCTAGTTTCCCCTAGCTGGGTTGAGTACTTCCTGTAGTCTTCACCAATACGTACTTTCAGCACTGACTGTTGTGAGAGACACTTCTCACACTACTGTGGCTAAAATCTCCGTGTTGGGGATCACTGTTTCCTTTGTGTTGGGTGAGCTTTGGGCCTCTGGGTTTTCATAGTTGAAGTCACTTGGTATAGGGAAGGGCAGGCTGGTCTTGCCTCTACCTGGATGAAGCCCAGCATGTCTTGACGACTCACCTTCTTCTTGCCTTCACATTTCAGTTCCTCAGCCCTGCATGTTTGTCTGCCCATTTTCTTCCTAGGACACACAGAGCCAGTACCACTTGGGAATTTGCTATGAGAAGGGTCTTGGTGTGCAGAAAAATCTGGGAGAGGCTGTGAGATGTTACCAGCAGTCAGCGGCTCTGGGGAATAAGCTTGCCCAGGAGAGGCTGCGGACCCTTTTCTCAGTGGAGGCAGCAGGTAGAGATGCAAGTCAAAGCCAATAGAGTTCCCCCCGCACCCCCCCAAGCTTGGCACTCTGTGACAGAGAAGAGGGTGGCAGTGGACCCTGGTCCACATTTCCTACCCCATGTGAGGTTAAGAGCATGCCTTTTGGAGTCAGACAGACCTGACTTTTAACCCTTGCTCTGTCTTTAGACTCGGACTCCATGTCTTCGAGCTTAAATTTCTTCACCTGTTAGGATTAAATGAGATGTTTGTGAAGGGCCTAGCACAGCCTAGCACATAGTTGTTGAGTAAGTGATAGCCTCTCTGATGATTTTTTTAGGCAGGCTAATGCCTTGAGGCTGCCCCAGTGCCTTGAATTACCCTTTCAGGGCTATGAGAACCCTACTGAGTAATGACTTACTGGAGTGGACTGGTTTATAGTACCAGGGGGAACCAAGTCCTTTTAGAAGTCCATGCTCCAAGGTGGGAATCCATGAATACCACATGAGTAAGAATTGCTTTCCCTTTGCCTTGCAGCCCTCAGGTCCAGAGACCTGGCAGTTACAGGACTGAAGTCTTTCTCCAGCCCTTCCCTCTACAGTCTGAACACCCTGCTGGCAGGAGCCTCGAGTCTCCCGCACGCCAGGAGCACAGGGAACCTTGGACTCCTCTGCAGACATGAGCAGCTTGCACCCAACGCAGGTGCCAACAACAGTGTGAACCCACCACCCCGTCACTCCTTGGAAAGGAGTCTTGTAAGACTGGGTTATGGCTAAGGTGAGATCAAACATAGTCATTGTTACCTCTTACAGCCAGGAGGCCAAGAGGTTGGATGATAAAAAAAAAAAATAGGGTGTCAGAATCCTTTTCTAGGGTAGTAATTCCAGTGAGAGCTTAGGGTCCCAAGCAAATTCCAATTAGTGGTTAATAAATGACTTGGTTTACCCCTCTTCCTTCCAGTTGGTAGCCTTACAGATGAGCAGTGAATGCATTCAGTCATTTCTTGTCTGTTCGCAAAACAGACTCAACCAGAGGCCTGTTACCTATAAACAACTTGACTGAAGGATCCAGAGGCCCTGGGCCTCACCTTAGCCTTGACTTTGAGCAAATGGCTTACCTTCTCCATCCCCAGGCTTAGACTGTATTCCTCTGATATGTTCAGAAGAGACTAGTAGTGCTACACGATATTTTATATTTTTATAGTTACGTAGTATATAATATGAAAAGATGACTGGCATATTCATCTGTAGTTTCATAGATACTATGTCTAGGATGAGGCTAACTTAAAGAAAAAAATGAACCAACTTAACAAAAAACATTGCATGAAGTAGAACATAGATCCAGAGACATGGTAAAATCATGAGGTTGTTCCATGAATAGCTAAAAACTTAGGCAACACTGAGCCAGGCCATCTCCGAAACAGGCACCAACATTTGTCTTTGTTTATTTTATCTGCAGTAGGTTCAAGATTATTTTCATTTTGCCATTGATTTGGAACCTTCACCTTTTCGGACCTTTACCATTCATCCCTGAAGATGGAGCCTGAGGGTGCTCAGAGATTTGGCACGATCTTGGGTTTTACAGAAGAGGCCAGTTATCCACCCACCTCCCCAAAGAATCATGAGCACCTGCCTCAGCACAGCGAAGAGGAGGAAAATGAAGAGCTAGACTCCAGTCCTGGCTCAGCCACTTGCCGGGCACATCCCCCTGAAGCAGTGACCTGACTTGCTGTATTGAAAAGCAATGGTGTTTGCCCTTCTACCTTACAGGAGTGATGTTGAGGTTGAATGAGACCATCACTGTTTTACTGAGGAAAGGGCCTTGGCTGGTACGCACTTAGGCCTGGGAAGGCAGAATGATGCCCCAGGTTACAGAGTTTTCTGAATCACTAGGCCAGTATAAGGACCTGGGTTTTCCCACTGGTTCTCACTGTAATTTATGTGGATGCACTATCACTGTTCTTCCAGCATGAGGGAGTGAATGGAGGTTGACCACCTGATGCCTCGGAGCAGGAGAGTGTTGTTTTTGGGGTCCTCCTGTGGGAAGGGTATGCCAGGAACGTATGAGTGTTTAATAAAACTGATATTGGATTATCTCATCACTGTTGGCCTTGAGTGTGTGTGGAAAGCCAGGGTGATAGGCAGGGGAAACAGAAAGCCGAGGCTCCATCTTCGTCTTTAAACTCTCCATTAACCAATTTAAAGGGTCTTAAAAGCTTCTCCAAGAGAGAGACTTAGAAAAAAAATGATTTCTGAGTCAACGCTAATGACTCCAATTACTGAATTTGCGAATAGCTTTTCCTTGGTTTCTGGATATTAGCCCGAGTTCAATAGTGTAGATGTGGTTAAGGGTGGGGGCCAGGAAGAACTGACGACCAAATCCACTAGTGGCTGTTCAAATGGGAGGAGAGGGGAGGGCCCACCCAGCTCAAAAGTGGGAGGACTTGGGGGTGGGGGGGTGGCCTGCATTTTTCTCTCTAATGCCCACCCACATCTCTCCCTAGCCTCTAGTGGTCCAGGTCTTGTTCTCACTAATGGAGCCTTAAGTTTCCTTTAATTCCAGCAGCCCCTCTCCTCGAACTCCTCTTCCACAGTATACTGGTTTTACTCCCTTCAGCCCCTCACACACCTGCCTCCTTGGGAGCAGGGAACCTGTCTTCCTTGTTTCTCAGTATCCCCAGCACATAGCCCCAGTGCCCCATGTGGTGGTCTCAATACACATTGGTTAAAGCTCAGAATTTTAAAGCTGGGCAGTGCACTAATCTCTGAAAAAAAAAAAAATGTTTCTGTGGTCAAATAAGTTTGGGAAATGCTGCACTAGCCACCCCCTTTTTATAGATTCCTAGTACACATCAGCACATTCAAGGTTCCAAGAAGTCCTATGGTAAAGACTTGGTTAACCCAATGTTTCCCTCACTGAACTGAGCAGACTTGTCCCCCTACACATTCCCATTAACGTTCCTGGGCACTATGTATAAAATGTCACACACACCCCCGCCATTCTCATGGAGCCCCACTAACCTGTCTCTTCCCCTCCTGTTGTCATTTTGGCTTCTCTGATCACAGCTTCCGCCTGACCCTGCCTCCTGGCCAACAAGCAGTTCAGATGGTTTGTTGGCACTGAGCATCCTGTGGGACCGGCCACGTGCAGCTCGCCTTGTTGCAAGTTAAACATTGATTCAATTTGGGGTGCCAAAAGTGGGTGGGATATTTTTAACCTCTCCAGTTTAAAAAGGAAGGACCTCTCCGGATGGAGAGAGAAGAATGGGAGAGTCATGAAAGATGTTGACAAGGGACCAAAAATCCTTGGCTGTTCAGTCACTGCGGTCTTGATACAGCCCCAGGGGATGGAGTTCATTGGCAGACAGGGAACTGCTGTGCTTTTGCCATTAAAATTCTGTTATTAATGACTCCTCGTCAGCACCCGGAAAGGAAATGTGAAGGAAGGACAGGGAGACAACTCTGTCAGCAGGTACAGGATTCAGGATGACCTAAAGTTCAGGGCCTGATGCCCTCAGTGATGAGATCTTATATGAGGCTCTGCTGCCTCTGTTTCTTTATCCGGGGGCACTTTTCAGGGAGCCCTGATACTAGGATGGGAACAAGGCTGTTTAGCTTATTGTATCTTCAATGTTAATATGGTACTGGGCACTTAGTAGGTGTTCAGTAAATATTTATTCAGTGAATGATGGTTATCAATGCATCTTCCCACCTCTCCACCCAGTGCCTGGCACCAGGCCTACCTAGCACAGTGTTGTTGTTAGTGCCGTCGAGTCTGTTCTAACTCATAACAACCCTCTGTAGAGTTTCCAAGGAGCAGCTGGTGAGATTGAACCACCGAAGTTGTGGTTACAGTCCAATGCTGATTGTAGCTACAGTGCCACACCAGGACTCCAATTGTTGCTGTTGTTAAGTGCTGTCGAGTCAGTTCTGACTCAACATGACCCTCTATAGGGTTTCCAAGGAGCAAATGGTGGGTGCAAACTGTCAAACTTGTGGTGTACAGTCCAATGCTGATCCTACAGAGCCACACCAGGAGGGGCTCCAATAAGTGCTTTAAATAATTGTTGAATGAATGAATGATTCTGTATACACCTGCCTGCACTGCTGCTTCTAGTGCTACTTCTGGTCCTTAATACAAGTCCCCACCCACTATCATTGAGTTGATTCTAACTTATCACGATCCTGTATAGTTTTCAAGGCTGTAAATCTTTACAGCAGCAGAAAGCCTCATCTTACTCTTGCAGAGTGGCTGGTGGGTTTGAACTGCTGACCTTGCAGTTAGCAGTCCAGTACTTATCCTACAGAGCCATCAGGGCTCCTTAATTAGTGTTAATTAAAAACAAAATATTTGTTAAATGAGTGCTTCTGATCATCCACCCACCTATTATATTACATTGTGCCTGATACTTAATATGGGCTAGAAAATACTGACCCATTTGTTAGGTACCCATTATGTGCCAGTCTGGACCAATGCATGCTAAGCCTTCCAAACTCACATGTCTTCTAGGGATTTGGTTCTCTCCAGAGTCCCAAGGGTAGGGGTTGCCATCTCACTCTTGTTTCAGCCAGAGAAGTAGGGTCAGTGAGCTGCCAAGCTGAAGTAGGGTGACAGGCAAGGAGGCTGCCTGTCAATCTCTGAGCTGCCCCAGGCTCTGAGTGCACTCCTGGTGCTGGGGAACGGCTGACTATTGATTTTTTTTTTTTTTTTTAAAAAGTCCCTCTGCTTTCCAAATTAAGACGACATTTAACTGAGTGCTTGCTGGTTCACCAGCTCTCTCAACCTCTGAGAAGACAGAGCCCGGCTTGGTAGGAACTGTTTTGAGCTCATCCAAATTCTCGGCTTTGACATCTTGGCTAAGGTCAAGAAGTTTCTGTAACCTTCCTGTTCAGCACTCTCAGTTCTGTCATCATACACACTGTTTCACTCTCAGCCTGTTGTTGAGAAAGGGGCTGTTATCAGCATACCAGTGGCAGACAGCATGGTGCAGGAGAGAGCAAGCAAAGGAGAGCCAGCCCTCACATACATACATCCCACCCTATCCAAGATCTGTGGTCTCCAAACAGGAACAGTTCTACACGTGGGTTCCCCTGGCCTCTGCAGGAGAAGCAGAGCTGAGGTCTGACCTGGAGGATTACCACAGCAGTGGTCTTTACTCTTATTTAGGTCATAGACCCCTTTGAGAACTTGATGAAAGTGCCGACTCCTTCCCCTAGAAAAAATACACATCCTTCTGACTTGCATGCAGTTCACAAGGTTCGGAGATCCTGAAGTCCTACCAAGGACCCAAGGTTAAGAACCCTTGATATACCAGTAGCTCAAAAGAGTAGATAGGAAACTTAGAGAGCAGTGAGTTTACAATAATGTAAGAAAGGAACAATTTGGAAAAGGAGGGTGAAATGACAAAAATGTAACCAATGTCACTGAATTATGATTATACATGTAGAAATTGTTGGATTGGTGTATGTCTTGTATATAAAGTCCTGGTGGTACAATAGTTAAGTGCTCAGCTGCTAACCAAAAGGTCAGTGGTTCAAAACCACCAGCCTCTCTGTGGGAAGAAAGACTTGGAGATCTGCTCCCATAAAGATTTCAGCATAGAAAACCCTATAGGACAGTTCTACTCTATCCTGCAGTCACCATGACTAGTAATTGACTTACCAGCATACAAAACAACTGCTATGTATATTCCCAACAATAACAACAGCAAAAATAAAAAAGAACTCTTGATATACTTGAAAGAGCACCTACTAAAGCCCACATCCAAATCCTAGTTCTGCCACAAACCCAAGTGACCTTGTACTAGTCATCTAACATTTCTGTCTTTCCATGTCCTTGGCTATACACTGAAGAGCTGAAGTAGACAAATGTCCAGACTCCTTAAGACTAAAATTTCCCACGTCTGTGGAAGTTTGATAGTGTCTTAGTGTAGTGCTGAATAACCTTTTATAGGTCACATGTTTCTCTAAGAATCAGAAGAAAGAGCTTTGTATCTCCTGCCCAGAAAAATGCTTATATGCAAAGTGTTGCCTACAATTCAGAGGGCACAAGGACTACAGATTTAGGGCTTCTGAACTAGACTGTTGCAGTGATCCAGTGTTCCCGATAGTCCAGCTGCCACCCATGGTTCCAGGGTACTCGGGTCACTTCCACCCCCAGCTTTTTTCCTCTCTACCTTCCCAACATCAGCTCTGTAACTGGTCTATCAGTCAGCATGATCTACTCAAGTGCTGTGGTTTCAGACTTTGCTTCTACATGGTACAAACACCCTTCCTCCCTCCTTCTTATGAATCTTACCTAGACCTCCTAGATAGATATACCTGGAGCTCCTATATAGATAAAAGGGGTCTCTAGTTGAAACATTTATTAATACATCCATGAATTTATCCATTCAACAAACATTCACCAAGTATCAGCTTTGTGCCTAGCACCTGCCTGGATAGGCCAGAGATCCTGCCTGTTTGGTCTCTCCCAAGCTTTCCACATTGACCTACAGAACCCAACAGCTCAGTGAACGAGCTTGGAGATGAAACTTGAAAATCGCAGATCTTGTAAAGAGATTACTCAGGCCGGAGTCAGATGATCAGAGACCCAGTTCTTGCCCTACCTCATAAGCACTCAATTATTTTGGGTCTCATTTTCCTCATCTGTAAACTGAATTATGATGCTACCCTGCATTCCAAGTATGTTTGATTTTCATTATCTCTAGATGAAAAGATGATTGGCCCATTTCTGTGGACATAAGCACTGACCTCTAAAAGAGAACAAAAGGAGGAGCACAGAGAAGAACGTAGCCTTCAGTGTCCAGAGAGTCCTGTACTATAGAGAATCTAGCTGTCTGACTACTTGGAAATTTCCAGGAAAATTATAAGGCTGAGCCTTGGGAAAATATGTGCTGTTTCTCCACTCCCTCCTCCGCCCCTACAAAGTCCCTGCTGTCAGCATCCATTTCATAGACCCATTTCATATGCTGTCCTCTGGGGCCTGAATTCACAGCCCGAGTCTGCTGCCACAGAGAGAGGAAGATCTACCCACAAACAGTGGGCCAGGAAAGATGACTTCTATACCTGAAGGGCTGCTCACTGGGGAAGGGCAGGGGCCTGCAGAGGCCCAGGCTGAATCAATCCAGATCCAAGGTCCTCTTGCTCTGTACTTGAAGTTCACAGAGCTGTGCTGGCCTGCGCAGGCATTGGAACTGTTTGTTTCTTGAGGGAGGTTCAAACAAGTCCACCTCTGGCAAAAGCCCATCCTTGAAGGCTTTGCCTTTACTTTTCCTTGACTGGAAGAGCATGAGTTTCAGTGTTGGACAAGCCTGGGTCTAGATATTGACTCTGCCTCTACTCTCTGTTCGGTGTGTGTGTGTCTGTGTGTGTGGTGGGGGGCAGGGAAAGACACTCAGCCTCTCCGAGCCTCATTTTCTTGTCTGTGAATGGGGTAATAATACTTCCTTTCCAGGGTTGCTGTGAAAATTAAATGAAATCCTATTGTAAAGCCTGGTGTGTGGCTTATATAAATGTTCTATAAATAGTAGTGCTTTTCTTAGCCCCAATTTTCCAGCTGAGCTGCAGATGACTTGATAATGTAGCAATAGAGGAGTGGGTTCAAGAATACACAAGTCCACGATTTGTGTACCTAACACTGTACACCCCCGGCCTGTGCTGGTACAGCAAGATTCTTTTGTCAGTGGATGCCAAAGAACCCCTGCTTGGTTACTCTCCCCACTTACAGGTGCAAACAGAAGAACAGCTTTTCCTTTATTAGTAGGTCAGGGAGCATTGCCTGGGCCCCCAGGATCCAGCTCCCCACCTCTAGTATCCAACAAGGCCATCTTTTCCTGCTTGTGATACTCCTTGGCATTGGTTCCACTGGAAGAACAACTCTTTTGCACTCTTATGTGTGTTTTGCCAGCAAACACGTATCTCAGCTTCAAATTGTCGGTCTTCCAGAAAATTCATAGGCAGTGTGAGTCCCTAGCAAGGGGAGCCTGCTTTGGTCAGATTACTTAGTCCTGGCACCCCTGCCTCCTTTATAGGGGCAGCATGGGCCATCAAAGTTCTTGAGCTGCCTCTGGTCAGAGGGTTTCAAGATTTTAGAAACCAGCTCCTCTCCCAGGAGCCTCAGAGCCTGGGCTCTCTAACATCTCCCAGGGCCCCTGGTCCAGTGATGTCCAAAGTGTGTTTACAGACCCCTGCTGCTGCTGCTGCTGCTGCTGCCGGTCCTGCCCTTCTTTCCACCTACACCCCCTTGGGTTTCAGTGCCCGAGGTCCCACTAGTGGCCAGATCCAGACTAAGGGTCCTCCCGCAAACAGAAAGCCTCCGCAGTGCCTCAGAGGCGGCCTCCATGGGCACCACGTTGGAGCGCTGCGCCAGTAGCATCTCTAACAGCGAGCTCATCTCTGAGACGAAGGTGCTGGCCAGCCGCGTGCCTGTGGGGCTAAGCTCGGGCCCTGCCGCCTTCCCGAACGTCTGGAAGGTCCGAGGCTCCTCCAAAGCCTCACTGCCTGGGGAGCACACATTGTCACGGTAGTTGGTGGTGAGGGGCAAAGACAGCCTTGCCATCCAGGCTGGGTCGGGGGCGCTCAACCAGTCCAGGTCCAGGCCTGCAGGGGGAGGAAGGGACACAATGAGGTCCACCAGCCGGAGAGGTCAAGCGGTGGGTGGGGTTGAAAGCAGGGCAAGGGCACAGGACAAAGGAGGGAAGGGAAATGGCTGGGGGGACAGAAGGGAGGACAGAGGAGGGGAAGGGAGGAAAGGGGCCGGGTCTGGGTGGGAAGCTCTTTGGGCAGGAAGTTGGCTGACTGAAGTACTCAAGTAAGCTGATTGGGGAGGGGGCAGAAGAAGGAAGGCCTACAATTAGAAATTGCCCTGTTTTACAGCATTTCCCAGTTCGTGGTGTGTGTCCGGGCTAGGTGTTCCACTTATTCCTGAACAGCCAAGATTTTCACCCCCTCCAGGAGACTTCCCTCCTCAGGACACCACTAACTGAGGATATTAAGTGCCAACCCATAGTGACCCAGTTTCCGAGGAGCAGCTGCTGAGCATGAACCACCAACTTTGCAGTTCAAACGGCTTTGCAATCTGGTGCATTAACCCACAGTGCTACACCAGGACTCCCTATGTGACTGAATTTCTGGCCCTTCTTCACCTGAGGTGCTCCAAGTGCCCTTCTATACCTGTGGGATTCCCAGGCCGGCTTTGTCACCTCCTAGCCTCAGCTCCTCAGCACTTCCACTTCTCCAGCTGCAGGCAATGCTGGGAAGAGGCTGACTCCCAGGACAGTCCTAGAAAGGGACTGAGGTAGTGGCAGTGACCTATCAGCCTGCTTGCTGGGAAAAGCTGTCCACTAGATTGCCAGTGCCACATTCACCCTTCTCTTTCTCCCCTCTCCTCCACATACAAGGTGGCTTCAAAAAGTTTGTGGGAGAATGGAATGAAAAGAGAATATATTTTCCCACAAACTTTTTATGAAACCTCCTTGTAAAATCTGGTCTCAAAAGAACAAGTCCTAGGTTAGACTGTAGAGGCCAAGTCAGAGGAAAGAAAGACTTGTACTTAAGAAACTGTCCAATGAAGAATAGGCAAAATAAGAGACCAAAGTTAATTAGTTGTTACCTGGGGCAGGTGAAAGGAGAGGGGTGGGGGAAGCAGTGAGTTGAGTTTCTGTTTATGGTGATGGGAAATGTGGAAGTGATTAGGGATAACAGTTATAGAACATAATGAATGGAATTGATATCACTACATTTTATATCTGGAACTGTTGAATTGACAAATGTGTTTTATACACACACACACATATATATATTTACAACAACAAAATTTAAACATAAAAAAAAGAAGCTATCTTAAAAAGAGAGTGAAAGAGAATTATTTACTTTAGAATTAATATAATATTTGCTTAAGATGAGCTCTTTTGAAATCTGTGCATGGAAAAAAAAAGCAAAGACTGGAAGGAGATATGCCAAAATGTTCATTGAAATTTCCCTGGGCAGAAGTTATTTTATTCTTTTTGATTATCTATATTTTCAACATTAGTCAAATATTACTTTTTTTAATTTTGAAAAGTTTATTTAAAAATAAAGGGAATTAGTTTTGCACGGATAAGTCTCTCTCTTGCATGGTTAGTGCTGTACAAGATTACACAGGCTATGAGATGGTGTTGGGTCCTTTTCCTACTGGATCATTTGGCCTAGCCTAGTGCCTGAGGCTTAGTGAATGTTTGCTGAATGATTGAGTGAACATAAATATTAACCCTCAACACTTGGGAATTGTAAACTTTAGTTCCCTGAGACTCTGAGGCAATAAGGTGGAAACTCTTTTGGTGTTACATAATCAGGCCTTTGCTTGTACAAGGGTCAAAGAGCTTCAGAAAAAGCGAAGCTTGGAATGAGAAAATCACTGGGGTGTATGAGAACACAGTGCAACTGAAGACTAATAGTGAATTCATTCAACATTACTCACCAGCTCCAGCTGCAGGTGGGCACTAGGCTCACCTGGGTTTGATTTGTCAGCTTTGCCACTTAGGGGCAGTGTGACCTTGGAAACATCGTTTAACCTCTCTGAGCCCCCATTTCCTCTAATAAATGGTGAGCTCATAGGCCTCATCTTGTTGGGTTATGAGAATCTGGTGAACGCATACAACCCGTTAAATACTGTCATCATCATATCATCAGATGGGGCTTTTATTTGAAGCAACAAAGGCCCCAGTCTCAGGCACCCACACCAAGAGCCCCATCACAGCCTAGCCCTGTGAACTACAAAGGCTTTTTCTATCCTCTGATTCTTCTTCAAATCACCACCCCTCTGCCCCACTTCCTATAGTCCCCTTGTGCCCAGTGCCTGCTGTGCTGCGGGGAGGCAGGACCCAGGACCGCGAGAATCTAGCATACAGGTTCTAGCCCAGAGCTGACCAACAAAGACATAATATAAGCCATATCTGTAATTTTTAATTTTCTTTTGAAAAAAGTAAGAAATGGGTGAAATTAATTAAAATGTTTTTACCTCACCCATTATATCCCAAAGATCATTTTATCATGTGATCGTTATTTTTTTAATTATTAATGAGCTATTTTACATTCTTTATACTTAAACTAAGGAGCTCTGGTAGCGTAGTGGTTACGAATTGGGCTGTGAACTGCAAGGTCAGCAGTTCAAAACTACCAGCTGTTCCGTGGGAGAAAGATGAGGCTTTCTGCTCCCGTAGAGATTTACAGCCTTGGAAACCCTGTATAGGGTCGCTATGAGTCGGAACCAACTCCACGGCACATAACAACAACAACAACATACTTAAACTGGAGTCCTGGTGTGACTCTCTAGGATAAACACTGGACTGGTAACCACAAGGTCGATGGTTCAGATCCACCAGTTACCCTTGGAAAACGTATGCAGGGTCTCTGAGTCTTAACTGACTTGGTGGCTCTTACCAACAAGAATACTTAATCTGGTGTGTATTTTATATTTATAATGCCTCTCAAATGAGACTAGTAATTTTTCAAATGTTAGTAAGCACATGTAGCTAGTGGCTAATGTACTAGACAGCAAAGCTTTACATTTTAAACTATGCTGTCCTATATATAACTTTCTACATAATGATGTCCAAAGTGGTAGCCACTAGCCACATGTTGGTTACTGAATGAGATGTGGTTAATATGACTGCAGAATGGAAATTTTCATTTTATTTCATTTTAATTCATTTAAATTTAAATAGCCACACAGGATCAGTGGTTACTGTAGTAGGTACCTCAGCTCTGAAATGTAGAGTTGTGCATTTGTGTTGATAACCATTGGTTGCATCATCTTGGAAAAATTGTTAAGCAACCCTGTCTCTCGGGTTTTTTCTTTATGTTGTGGTTGTTGTTAAGTGCAGTTGAGTCGGTTCCGACTCATAGCAACCCCGTATAGGGTTTCCAAGGAGTGGCTGGTGGGTTTGAACCACCCACCTTGCGGTTACCAGTCGACCTTATAGTCCAGTGCTCTATCCTACAGCACCACACCAGAACTTCTTTCTTTTTTCTTTATAAGTGGCCAATAATGAATAGCACCTATTAATAAGATTTTCCTGAGGCACTTAGAACGGGGACTAGAACATAGAAAGTGCTCAATAACTACTAGCTACTTTTTTTTTCTAACCAAGGAACGGGAAATCCCTGCTATGCCTTTAGCGTGTTTGCAGCCAGATGGAGCAGACAGGATGTGTTCACATGAGAAATAAATTGTTAGCTGCAGAAACAGAAAAACGACAACAGGAGGATGGTCGAAGGTGTGATGTGCTGGCTACCTAAAGAAGGCAGGCCAGTGTGCACAGCACAGGGGCAGCTAGCCATTCTGGAGTTAGAGTTCTGGTTAGGTATTTATGTCAATACTAATTGTTTTACTACAGGGGAAAAAAAACCCTTTCGCTTCAATTGGAAGTATTAGCACATTAAAGAGTTGACTCAGATCCCAGAGTGAAAGGAAATTTAAACATACCAAAGAAATGCAAATGATGGTTTAGCTATTAGGGGAACTCTGATACCAGGCGAAGAATGCTGGTGGCAGGCAGAATAGTTAAGTAGGTGGCTGCTAACAGAAAGGTCACCAGTTTGAATCCACCAAAGGCCTCCCAGGAGAAAACACCTGGTGATGTGTTTCCATAAAGATTACAGTCTTGGAAAACTGGGGTCACTATGAGTTGGGCTCCACAGCAAACAATAATTGTTGCTAGGCAGGCCCAGGCTTTAGCCCCTCCTCAATTACTGTGGGCACTTTACCTCTCTGCGTTTCAGTTTGCTCATCTGTAAATTAGAGCTAATAATAATACCTCAAATGACTGTTTGGAGTCTTAAATGAGATAATGTATAAAAGATGTTTCCCTAGTGCCTAGCTTAGTAAACGGCAAGAACTCAATGACTGCCCACCTTACAATGACTTTTAAAGTTAATAACATGGCCTTTAGACAAACAATATCTTCTGAGGCTCCAAGAGAAGTTAACTATTGTCAGTGTTCCGTCCTTAAAAAAGAATGACCCTTTCCCTGTGGTGGATAGGAGAAACCTGAGCCTGTAAGGATGTTGAAGACAGAAACAGCATTGGAGCAATCATGGAGAGACCTTACCTGTGTGGGGGTCCAGTAGGCTCGACAACTCTTCTTCCAGCAGTTGCTTCACAGAGAGGTCTTCTTCAGGGTCCAAGAGCCCTACCTCCTGGTCCAGGTCTGCCTGGCCACCAACACTGACACCTGGGCCATCTGTATCTGGCACTGCGCTCCTGCAAAGGAAGCCAATCCAATCCACTAGTGAGGAAATGTAAGCAAAGATTCATTCATCCTATTCATTCATTCTTACCATTCGTACTAGCAGTTGTTTATCCATCTAGGAAAGTGGAGCTATAACCCAATCTTTAGAGCCATGCCAACCTGGAATATGTAATCTCAGCCCTGTTGCCTACTCTGAATCTCTGTTTCCATATCTGTAAAATGGCTTTAATAAAGAACACCCACCTTGTGGATTGTTGTGAGGGTAAAATGAGATGTTGTATTTAAAGGGCGTAATGTAGTGCCTCCTACCTCAGAAGCACTCAACAAATGGAAATCATTATGAAGGCATTGATATTATTACTCATCATTTTTTTCTCCAATGCCTTTGCAGCTCCTAGCACAGAGTAGGAGGAGTTTAGTAAACCAATTGAACCAGTACAGTCATTCATCCATCCATCAAAAAATAAGCTCCAGTGAGGGCTGGGATTTTTGTCTGTCTCATTCCCTACTCGCCCAGAACAGTGCCTGGCACATAGTGGGTGATACATATTTGGTAGTATGGATGACTGAATGTCCCCTCCTCCCTGTTTGTAGTCAACTTCCATGGCAGAGGAGTAGGTGAGGCATCTTAAAAGCTGCTCAATCTACTTCCCACTTCCCAATGTCCTGCTGGCTCCTTCACATTAAAAAAACACACACACAAAGAAAAACCTGTTGCCACTGAGCTGATTTCAGCTCAGGGCAACTCCATGTGCCACAGAGTAGGAATGCTTCATAGGCAAATGGTTCGCATTTGACTACTAACTTCAAAGTTGGCATTCAAACCCACCTAGCAGTACCAAGTAAGAAAGTCTTGGTGATCTGCTTCTGTTAAGATTATAGATATTTCCCATAAATACACCCTATCTCTTAGAGAAGGTCATCTGGGATTGTTTCAACATGTGGACACAGATAAGAAAGTTCTTTGAGGCGCTTTAAGGTTACGGGTCCTCTTGCTGGTATGAAGGAACAAGCAGGTAGGTGGCAAGTTTGTGAGTTATAATAACTTGATGGCATCTAATACCACCACCATCAGCGTTGACTGAGAAATGACTCTGAGTTAGGCCCTTTGCTTTACAGGGTACCTGCACTTTCTCACTCAAACCTTCCAACACCTGTAAGGGGTTCTTGTTATCCCCATTTCATAAATGAGGAAACGGAAGCTTATAATGACTATGCAGTTTGCTCAAGGTTCCCATGGATTAAATGCTGGAACAAGAATTCAGATCCAGGCCATGTGACTCTGAGTGTGTGTACTCACCCCTACTCTGTGTAATACCTCTTATCAGCTTTCTTAAAAAGAAGCTGCAAGTTGCCATGGCAAGAGCTCTGAATCAGAAGTCCTGGGCCCTGAGAGCCAGTCCCAGGCTCTGTCACCTTCCTTGCTACATGACCTTGAGCAAAGTCACCTTAAGGGGAAAGTACTTAATACTGCTTTAGCACCTACTATGTACCAGGCGCTGGACTATGGGCTTAGAATACATTTGATCATGGAATCCTTCCCACATCTCTACAAAGGAAGTATGGGGACCCCCATTTTACAAATGAGGAAACTGAGGCTGTAACAAATTATCTGACTTGTTCAAGTTGATATAGGGTTGGATCAGACTACTAGAGCCTCAACTTCTCCTTCTGTAACAAGGAGTTAGATGAGATGTCCTCATATGGTCTCTTTAATTCTAGAACTACCCAAAGGGCTACACACATTCACACATCCATGACCTTACCAGAGAGCCTTCAGATTATGTTTAAAGGTCAAGAGAAAGAAAGCTAAAAGATGCAGATTTAAAGCTGATAGTCCAGGACCTCTGTAACCAGGGGACAGATAGAGCCTGGGGGATGAAGTCATTTCCTTAGTGACTCTGGGTCCTGTAAATACCATAAATACAGTCCACTGGGACTAAGTCTGCTGGGATGGTGAGATGGGGGATGGGTGCCGTCTGCCACACTCTTCCAGGGGAGTAATGTCTGAGGCTGTGCTCACCCTTCAGCAGTCACAGACGTGATCACTGGGGTAAGGATCATACTGGTGGGGGACTCCAGAAACCTGCAGGGCTACGTGCTGCTTACCTGCCGCCAGTGGGCTTGGCCGAATACTTATTTCCCCGGTGGTTTGGTTTGGGCTGGAATTGGCCCTGATGCAGCAAGGACAGCAGCTGGGAAATTTGCTACAAGACAGGAAAAATCTGTTGACTCCACACAATTCCGACCCAGCACACTTCCTCGCCGGATGTTTCCCTCAATGTCGGAGCTTTCTTTTAATAGTCTTTCCTCAGGCTTCAGATGTTTGTGTGATCAGGTGGGGGATGGTGCTGGGTGTCCTAGACAGAGACCTATCTGGGCAAGTCCCTGCTTTGGCATATCACCACGTCTGAGGACTTGGGTGCTTGAGGGAGAGAATGGGCACCCTCTGGGCTTATTCCCCCTCCCCTTCACTCCTCAAACTGGTAGAATCTGTGGGATGGGAGTGAACAGGTATTTCCTGACCATAAATTCATTACTACTTTAATAAAGATTATCTTAGTCAAACAGCTCTTTTCCCCTTTAGTGGTATTCAAATTCTCAGCTGACTTTTGTGGCCCAGAAGTATGACTAGGCTGTGGGGAGGGCAAAATGGTGTTACTTAATCATTCATTCATCTATCCTTTCATTAATTCAACAAGTATTTAATAAGGACTTGTTTGTGCCAGGCATTGTGCTGGGTATGGGAATAAAAATGAGAACAAGACCCAGTCCCTGACCTTAGGGAGCTTGCAACCTCTCAGGGAAAACAGGGGGTTGGGAAAAGACAGCAGAGGGCCTCTAATCTGATTTGTAGGCATTGGTGGAAGTGGCCGTCAAGAGAGAAAAACTGAGAAAAATTTATTAATTTATTTCAACAAATGTTTGTTGACATCATAACTATATGCCGAACACCTCTGTTGAGACCAGACTTTTCCACAGAATTTTGTAAGTGGGGACTCATAGTGAGGGCCTAAAAGAAGGTTGAAGATTGGTTGCAGGCAGAAGGTACTGCAGATTGAAAAACTGAGAGACCAAAAGTCCAGAAGAGATGGTACGGTTCCGGAAGACTGGAGATTGGAGTGGGTGGACGAGATGTCATGGCCAGGCTCTGTAGAGCCTTGTGAGGGTGGGGGCAGCAGGCCAAGTCTTGGGAGGCTGATCTAGTTTCGGCCATTTCTAGCTTGTTATGTACTATCAGGCAGGATTTTGAACTTCCTCAGACCTCATTTTCCTCATCTCTAAGGTGGGACTGGTGTAGCACTATAGGATAAGCAATGAATTGCTAACCTCCAGGTCACCGGTTCAAACCCACTAGTCACTCCTTGGAAATCCTATACAGGGTCCCTATGAGTCTGAATCTGCTCAATGGCTCTTAATAACAGCAAGGTGGGATTAGAAATCCCCACCCATACTTCTTAACAGGGTTGTGGGGATTATTGAGAAGGTTTGAAGGAATTAAGAGTGTTTTGCAAAAGCAAGGAGGTTTGGTTAAGACTCCTGAAAATGCTGCCTCTGCCTCCAGAGTCCATCCCACTTCTCCCTGGGGAGGTCCACTCTGCTTCTAGGGGCAGCTCAAGGCAGGAAGTGGAAACCTCAGGGGAGAGTTAGAAGAAGGGGTATCCAGGACTGGGGTTTCAGGGCCTCATTGTCTTCCTCAGGAAAGATCCCAACCCCTGAGCCTCTGACCTAGGCCCAGAAACCCTCCTAATGCCAGCCTTTCCTAAATGACAGCTGACATTTTAGGAACACTTTTGTGTACACAGCCCTGTGCAGGCTACCGCCACGCAGAGTTACTTCACAGAGGCCAGACTCTGGAGTCAGTCAGAGTAAAATGCAAAGTCTGCCTCTTCCCTAGGCTCCCTCTGTGTGGCCTGGAGCACTGTGAGCCTCAGTGTCCTCAACAGTCAAAAAGGGAATAATGAAACCTAAGTCATGTGGTAGTTATGAGGATGAAATGAGCCCAACTATATAAACTTATTGATAAATCCCATAATCAACCCTTGAGTAACTTATCAGATGCTATATAATCTCATTGAATCCTTAAAATAATAAAACCCATTTTACAGATATGGAAACTGAGGTTCACAGGGTTTTACATAGCAACTCCAGGAATTAAATCTAGAACCCTGATTCCCCTGCAGAGCTATGCAGCACAATAGAACATACATTGGACAACATGCCTCCTACCCTCAAGTTACTTCCAAATGGCCACCCTTCTTCTCCATCACCCCAGCTGGATCATCCACAGTGCCTCTCTCAGTTGTCTTGATTCCCCAGCAACTAGCAGCATGGTTGGCATAAAGAGCTCACTCAATTAGGCCTTGATGAATGAATGAATGAGTGAATGAATGGCTCTTGGCAACCTCTGGGGCTCCATGGAGCCCAGGGCAAGACTCATATGAGAGCAGCTGAGCCCACTCCAGGTGGCTTCCTGGAGAGGAATGGGGGAAGGAAGCTGTGTCCTTGTTCTGCGGAAACCTAAACTGATGGCCTGACCAAACAGAAGTGTGCCTTGGGCAGACAGACTGGTGCAGTGAAAACTATACAGGGGTTCAGAGGAGCGGATATGGGTGTGTGATCAGGCACCACCCCTGAAAAAGATTTCCCATTTGTGTCTAGGAAATCCTGGGTCACTTGACATTTTTTCATTCATCATCTCATTTAATTCTCACATCCCCCTAGGAAGTAGACACAGGGAAAATTTGATGTTATAATCCCCATTTTACAGATAAGGAAAATAAGGCCATATGCTAAAAGACTTGTTCAAGGTTGCACAGCTCTTAAGTTGTTGTATAGGGTTTCCAAGGAGCAGCTGATAAGCTTGAACCTCCTAAGTGACTATGCTAACATTTAAACCTAGATTTGCGCAAACCCCAAATTCCGAGGTTATTTCCACTGCATTCAGGCAATGAGCTGTGGAATCTCAGGCAAGTTAAATGCAGCCCCCCAGTCAGTGCACTAATGCCCATGTTGGCCTACTTCACAGAGAGGCTGCCCAGGTGAGATGAGAGCAGTGAATATGAAGAAGTGCTTTCCAGGAGTGATAGTAATTATTTGCCTACCTGCCAGTCACTGTTCTCAGGACATTAAGTTCATCAACTCATTTCATCTTTCTAGTAAATTTAGCAGGTGGGTGCTGTTGACAACAACATCCTCACAGAGAAGTTTAGTAGCTTCCCTGTGGCTCACAGCTTGGAGGAGGAGGAGCCAGAATTTGAACCCAGGTGTCCATGAACCAAAGCTTGTAGTTTTAATCACTACCTTCTCTGTCTGTCTACTTTTGTCAGGCACCATGAGTAAATGCTTTATAGGGACTAACTGATCAAATCCTCAGGGCAACTCTACAAGGGGGATACTCTTTCTAGCATCACTATTTTACAGATAAAGAGACTAAAGCTCAGGGAGTGAGTTGAGTGAGTAATTTGCCCAGGATCACACAGGTAGTAAGTTCTGTTGACCCCAGAGCTGTTTCCTGAACCACTGCCACCCCATGCATTATAAAGATATGTTTATAAAGAATGTGAGGGTAATAGGGGTGCCTGATGCCATTGTTGATGGTCCAGAGGTGACCAGGAAAGGACTGCCCACACTTGAGATACCTGAACAGGAGGAGAGTCCACGGTGAGCTCCTCCATGGGGTTACGCTCTGCAAAGGCAGCCACGGACAGACGGACCAGGCTTCGCAGGATCTGGCGGGGGCCTGACTCCTTATCAAGAGCCACTTTGCCATTGAGATTCCGCTTCCGCCTCAGGGTTGCAGAGGAGGCTGCTGGGCTCTGTGGGGCCTCACCGATGTCCTGGTCTCCAGGCAGTGTCCACATAGGGCTGCCTGCAGTCTTCACGGGCCTTGAGCGTGACTGGCTCACTGTGGGCTGGGGCTCAAGAAGGTTCAGGTTTTCTCGAGAGGCATTCCTCTGCCTGGGGTAGTTGAAAAGGAGGTTAACTGTGTCTGACAGCACCTCCTGGCTCTCATCCAGTGCTCCCAGGTTACTTTGGTTACGCAGGGTCCTGTATAGGGTTGGAGTGAGGTGAAATGGGGCCTGCAGGCAGGGGTCCCAGCCTTCGCTCATATTTGCTTCTTTGCTTGTGTCCTTGTGGGGCTGTCCAGCTTCAAAAGGCACATCTCCCTGGCTTCTGAGCATGGGCACAAGATGGATGTCTGCCTTCTGAATGTGTTTCTGGGGCCTCTTGGGCTGGTGGCGGTAGGTGGACTCAGCCTCCCGACAATTGTAGGCCCGATTGTCCTTCTTCTCTGTCCGGCAGATAGACATGACCAGAACCAAGACCAATCCGAAGATGGCCATCAGTACAAGCAGACAAATTACTGTCAGCACCGATGTGCTTAGGGCCCCAGGCTCATGGGCCATGTCCCTCAGGTGGTCCACGCTGGTGACAAACATGACCTTCAACCGGGCTTTGGTCTGTAAGGAGGGGTTGCCAAGATCCTCTACCATTATTTCCAACTCCCACTCACTCCCAATAAGGCTGCTGGCATTGGTGACATTGATGAACAGCTGCCCCAGATTGGGACTGAGAACAAAGAGGGAAGCTTTGTTACCCTTCTGAATGCTATAGAGAAGCTCTCCATTGGCTCCTGAGTCTGCATCTCTTGCCACAATGGTTGCCAAAAGGAATGGCGGGGGCCGGGGGATGGCCAATGGTAGTGTGCCAGCACCTGTTGGATCCAACCCATTGGGAGTCTCGATGGGCACTAGGAGGTGGCCTGTGGAGGCATTTACAAGTACTGAGAGGCTGGCTTTTCCATTGCTGAGCACAGGCTGAACCACTTCTGGGGCATTATCATTGACATCTAGGAGGTTGACCCACATGGAGACGCTGGATGCAAGTTGGGGCTGCCCCCTATCCTCCGCAATCACATGGAACTCAAAGCTGGCCATCTGTTCGTAGTCCAGTGTCCTCTGAGCAGTAACTTCTCCTGTATGTGCATCAATAGCTACCAAGTGAGAAACTGGGGAGTCCTGGATACGGTACGAGATTTGTCCATTGATGCCCAAGTCTGCATCGTGAGCCTTGACAGTGATAAGGTGAAGAGAGGGTAGATTATTTTCCCTAGTGGAGACCTCATACTTGGTCTTCTCAAATACAGGTGCGTTATCATTGGCATCGCTAATTTGGATGCTAAGCTGTTTCTTGGCTAATAAGGGCTGGGGTCCTTGGTCTTGGGCTAACAGAGTGAGAGTATATTCGGGCCATTGCTCTCTGTCTAGGGTGGCATTGGTCAGTAGCATATATGTATTGTCATTGGTCCTTTTCAACCTGAAGTGGCCTAGCTCTTGGTTTAGCCAACAGTGGACCAGACCATTGTTTCCTGAGTCCAAATCATTTGCCATTACGAGAGCAATGAAACTATCCTTTGGAAGAGCTTCTGACACCAGGGGTGACTGGGAGGCCCATGTGATGTGGATGCTCGGGACATTGTCATTGACGTCCAAAACCTTGATGAGAACTTTGCAATGGGATGGGATGGGATTAGGGCCCAAATCTCTCGCCTGGACATCCACCTCATAGGTAGGGTTCTTCTCATAGTCTAGTGGTTGACGCAGAATGACCTGGCCCGTCTTAGCATCGATGCTGAAGGTGTCTAGCACCTCTGGAGGCATGTGCTTGCTGAGGGAAAACTCCACCTCTCCGTTGGGGCCTTGGTCAGGGTCCGTGGCAGTTAGGTTTATGAGGAGAGTACCAGGGATGGTGTCTTCTTGGATTTCTAGTGCCAGTGAGCTCTCAGCAAACACAGGGCTATTGTCATTGGAGTCCAGGACATTAACCTTGATCAAGCTGGTGCCTGACTTGGGGGGATTCCCATTGTCATAGGCAGTTAACACCAGATCAAAGAATGAGTGACTTTCCCGGTCTAGCTCCTTTACCACCACAAGCTCAGCATATTTGGTCTCAGCAGGCCCCACGATGACCAGATCAAAGTGCTGGCTGGGAGACAGGGTGTACGAGTACAGTGTGTTGGGTCCAGTATCAGGGTCAACAGCCCTGTCCAGGGGGATCCGGGTGTGCAGAGCGGCACTCTCAGAAATTTCCAGCTCCTGTCTGCCTTTGGGAAACTGTGGTTGGTGATCATTGATGTCCAGCACCTGGATCTCCACGTGGATCAGCGCTAAATCCCCTGCGGCAAGAACATCAAAGGAAACCACACAGGGATCCTGCTGCCGGCAGAGCAGCTCTCGGTCCAGCCGCCTCACTGTGCTGAGCAAGCCGTCCTTAGCATTCACCTGAATAGGGAGCACTTGAGGCAGCTGCAAGACCTGGAAGGCAGCCCCCGTCGGCCCATGACTCTCCTCCCAGCCCAGCTCCTTGGACAGCTTCCCTATCACTGTACCAGATGGCACTTCCTCTAACACTTGGTATTTTACAGTGAGAGTGACCACTTCCTTGCAATCCCCTGAAAGGAACAAGTAGCCACCTGGTCCCCAAAGCCCCAACAAAAGCTGCAGAAGTTGCATCATGCTTACCGCCAGAGTGGCTAGATTCAGAGACCTCTAGAGTCCTTTAAACGCTGGGCAAGTCCTCCAGTGTTTCTTGGATGGCTGGGTTAGCTCCGTTCTGCTGCCCCCAAACCCACTGCTACAACCTTGTTCCATAGTTAGAAGATGATGGGACAAGCAGGATTCTCAGGCAAGGCCATTTTCATCTGAAGAGATCTGAGAGGTCGAATCACCAACATAGTAAAGTTGCCAGGAAGACCTTGCACCAGGCGCCCGTTGATCCACTTCAGCAAGTGATGGACAAGAGCGGCCTGCGGGGGACTTGACCCAGCAGAGCAGGATGCAGAGATCTGACTTCCAAACAGTTGCTAGGCTGGGGAAACAGAGAAGCAGCTTTTTCCTATGGAAACCCCACCTACAGGAAAAGGGAGGGCTGAGAGTTTCAATGTCAATTAAAGAAAGAACACTTCCTGTGAAGCTGAGTTGCCTGTCGTTGAGGATGCATGGCTGGCTGGCTCTGGAGACAGGGATGGACTGGATGGCATGGTGCTGTCCTTGAAGCATGGTGGCTGCTGAGGGAAAGAGAAGCAACCTTTTTGTCACAAAGTGAGCAGAAACCTGGTCCCCTCTGGGCAAGTTCCCTGTCTCCCTTCCTTTCCTTATCTCTCCTCATTATTCTCCTCTAACCTCTTTCTTTTCCCACACTTGTCTACCTCTTGTTCTTGACTCTGACCTGACTCTCAGTTTTGCTGGTTAAAACTCACAGTGGCCTACAGAGCCAAACTGTCTTTTGGGGCTCAAACTTACCAGCTGGTTCACTGGGGCAAGTCACTTAACCTCTTTGGGCTTCTGTGACCTCATCTGTAGAATGTAACTGGGAGTCAGAATAGTATCCCTCTCAGCCAGAAGTTGCAAGGATTAAATGAAGTGATAATGAAGGGCCTTAACCTGGGCCTTGCTAGAGATACAAGTAATGGTGTTATTACTTGTGGTGAGTGTTAAAATCTGCATGGCTTATCCCACTTTGTAGCTACCCTTTACTCTTGCCCTGTTCCTGGGCAGCATTGGATTACCCAATAAGCAAGGTAATTATGGGCTGACTTGTGTGTAGTCACTAATCTGTAGTGAACAATTTAATATTTTTTCACCACATCAAAGATTCTGCTTCTGATGGATGAACAAACTTTGGTACATACACAATGGAATGCGACACAATAGAATGTCGTTGTTGTCAAGTGCTATCGAGTCAGTTTCGACTCATAGTGACCCTGTACAGGGTTTCTGAGGAGCAGCTGGTGAGTTTGAACCACTGACCTTGTGGTTAGCAGTCTGGTGCTTGTCCTATAGCGCCACACAGGACTCCACACAATGGAATACTACACAGTTATTAAGAAATAATGATGACTCTTGTGAAACACCTTATAATATAGATGAACCTAGAGGACATTATGCTGATTGAAATTAGTCAAACACAAAAGCACAAATACTGTATGAGACTACTATTGCAAAAAGTCAAAAAAGGTTTTCACACTAAAAGAAACATTCTTTGATGGTTACCAGCTGTGGAAGGGAAGGGGCGATAATTCACTGTTGATTGGGTTGTTGTTATTAAGTGTCATCGAGTCAGTTCCGACTCATAGTGAACCTGTATAGGGTTTATGAGGAGTGGCTGATAAGCTTGAACTGCCGACCTTGAAGTTCAAACCAACTTTACAGTCCAGCGTATTACCCTGCAGTGCCAGACATATGTTAACTTGGATGAAGGGGAAGGAAATATACAACAAGGAGGAGCTTGGCAAAAAAATGATGGAGGCAGGAAGGGACATGGAGAGGAATGCAAGGGTTAAATGCAAATGAGGTAAATACTGTGCACATAAATACTGTTACATACAGTCTTGCCATAACAGTGATCTACAATAGCTGCACGGGTAAACACACAATCTGAACGGATACAAGAGGAAGACTAGGAGTATACCCACAAATATATGTAGGTTTGAGAGGATATCTGTACATGGGTATTTACCTTTCCTGCAAATGTATCCATGAATGTGGTGGAGCATACAGGGGCAAAGTTATGAAAATTTCCTGGACATAACAAAACACCATGTAGGAATGACTTTCTGGGCTTGGGGATCAGAATCATAGACTCAGGGACACCATGGTCAATTGGCATAACATAACTCACAAAGACAGTATTCTGCATACTACTCTGGTGAGTAGTGACTGGGATCTTAAAAGCTCATGAGCGTCCATCTAAGGTGTAACTATTAGTTTCTCCCTGTCAGAAGCAAAGAAGAAGGATGAAGATTGAAGACCTATGGAAGCAATTAGTCCAGTGGACTAGTGGACCATGCAAGCATCAGTGTCCATGACCCTGAGACCAGAAGAACTAGATGGTGCCTGGAAATGACTACCAACTTCTCTAAAAGGAATCACATTAGAAGGTTCTGGATAGAGTAGGAGAAAATGTGAAACAAAACTCAAAATCATGAGAAAAGACTAGGCTTACTGGTCAGATTGAGAATGGTGGAACCTGGAGACGATGGCCCTTAGTCATCCTTCAGGTCTGGAACCAAATTCAGTCCTGTGGCTCAATTTTCAGTAAAGTAATAGGTATATAAGAGGGACAACCACACTAGTGAAGTATGCACACCATAGAATGATCAACCATTCAAAATTCACAAGGGCAGCATTTACCCAAAGTCAGAATTCAGAAGATTTGGGATAGAAGGAAGAATGGAAATTAACAGGTAGGAAGTGGACTAAGTGTTGTTACAAGGAGGGGATTGTAATTATTGAGATGAAGCAAAGTGTAGGATTTGTAAAACCGATGATCTGCTCTGTAAACCTTCCTTCAATTCATAATAAAAAGTTAAAAAAATATATTCTCCTTCTGGGTATGGCTGACATCAGTCTCTCTCCCAACCCCATAGCATCTTCCTACATAATTAAAGTCTCTTTTCAAATTACAATCCCTGACAGGGACAAAATACCCAGTAAACAAGATAAGCATAAGCTTACTTTTGCTTATTTACAAAAAGGCTTTCGACTATGTGGATAATGTGGAAATTCCAGAACATTTCATTGTGCTCATGCATGATTTAATATCAGGAAAGATAGAGTTGTATCCATTCACCATACTTATTCAATCTGTATGCTGAGCAAATAATCTGAGAAGACAGATTATATGAAAAAGAACATGGCATCAGAATTGCAGGAAGGCTCATTAACAACCTGTGATATGCACATGACACAACCTTGCTTGCTGAAAGTGAAGACTTGAAACACTTGCTGATGAAGATCGAAGACTACAACCTTCAGTGTAGATTACAACTCAATATAAAGAAGACAAAACTCTTTACAACTGGACCAATAAACAACATCAGGATAAATGAAGAAAAGACTGAAGTAGTTAAGGATTTCATTTAACTTGCACCCACAATCAATGCTCATGGAAGCAGGTGTCAAGGAATAAAACAATGTATTGCATTGGGAAAATCTGCTGCAAAAGAGCTCTTTATAGTGTTAAGGAGCAAGGATGTCACTTTGAGGACAAGTGGATCTGATTCAAGACATGGGATTTTTTTTTTTTTTTTTAATGTTTTATTGTGAATTGGGTGATAGTCTACATGGGAGAACATCAGCTTTACATTCATTCCATCATCCATCATTTCGTTGGCATAGTTATCATCCTGTCCATGTATCCTCACCCCACCAAGGAGTGTACCCTGTAAACCTGCACCCCACTCCCACCACAGTCCTCAGCCCCTTTCCATCTCCTGATCCCGAGCCCCCAGCCCCACCATCTCTTGACGTTGTCTTCTCTGCCTCCATCCCAGGCCTCACTGCCTCTCAGGGTAGGATTCTGCTCTTCGCTCTTCTCCACTGATGGTCCCAGGGTCCTCCGCTCCTAGACTGATAAATTAATCACTCCCCTCTTTGTTACAAAATGTCCATCTTTAGATTTCCAACCCTCTCAATCAGTCCTGATAACAATTATTCACCATTGCATCACAAGAGACCCATCTATATTTCATTTCATCAGCCCTTCCTGGACAGGCTGGACACCACTCACTGGAGACTCTACCTTCCTCCACGCCCTCTGGATCTAGTTCCCCTCTTGAAAGCTTGTAAGCCAGTCACTTCTTGCCTTTGTATCCCTCCCCCCATTTTGGGTAGCCAATGTCCAAGTTGCCCATCCCTGTCTACCCTTTGTGTGGAGGTGGTAGGTATAGTTCTTGCAGCAGGGACTTGTTTCCTCTTTTGAGCTACTGCATTTATAGGTGTAGGTCATGTTAAGACATGGGAATTTTTTAACTTTTTATTGTGAATTGAATGAAAGTTTACAGAGCAATTCATCAGTTTTCCATTCAACAAATCCTACACTTCATTTCATCTTAATGATTGCAATCCCCTCCATGTAACATCAGTTATCCCACTTCCTCTCTGTGGTTCTTGTTTCCATTCCTCCTTCTTTCCCAATGCTTCTGAATTCTGACCTTGGGTAAATGCTGCCCTTGTGAATTTTGAATGGTTGATCGTTCTATGATGTGCATACCTCACTAGTGTTGTTGTCCCTCTTATATACCTATTGCTTCACTGAAAATTGAGCCACAGGACTGAATTTGGTTCCAGACCTGAAGGGTGATCAAGGAACTTCATCTCCAGTTTCCACCATTTTCTGTTTGACCAGTAAGCCTAATCTTTTTTCATGATTTTGAATTTTGTTCCACATTTTCTCCCACTCTATCAGGGACCATCTACTGTGACTCCTTTCAGACTAGTTGGTAGCGATAATTGGGCACCATCTAGTTCTTCTGGTCTCAGGGTCATGGAGAATGATGTTCACATAGTTTATTAGTCCATTAAACTAATTGTTTCCATGCATCTTCAATTTTCATCTCTCTTCTTTCCTCCGGAGTGCTAGTGTACCACTGTAGGATAGGCACTGGAGTGCTAACCATAAGGTGAGTGGGTCAAACCCCCCAGCCGCTGCTCAGAAATCTTATACAGGGTTGCTA